CGCAGCCTTACACCACTCACATGTTTGACATGGTGAGCCGGTCAGCCGTAGTCTTATGTATCGGCAGTGAACCACTAGACTGAGGGCTTTACAAATTTTGAAGTTATTTTATTATGAAAACTGATGTTTGATGCCGCAGTCCATGCTTCAAACCGGCTCAACATGCTGAACGTATGAATGTTATAAGGCTACGGCATAAAAGCCACCAAGCTGACAGAGTAAGAGTGGTTGATGGGGCAACAGAGAAAGCGTGAGGGGCGGATTGAGATCCACCCGCAGTCAAGACTTACGAGTCTAGGAAAGGACTTGAAAGTATTTCGTCAACTCCACTCAAGATTTGGATTAGCAAATCGACCTCTGTCTAGTCCTTCCATGAATTCCCACATTTTCCCGATTCTTCAGCTCATCGCTAGGTGGAGTGAGTGATGCCATGCTTCACAAATACAAGCATAAAGTACCGAGTCTGATCGCTAAATGACGCCGACGCCCTCCTATGACACGACTCGGCTCTGCCCCGCACTTCCACTTTAAAAGAGTTCAAAAACCCGGTAAATGACAACTGCGCATTTGATAAATGCCCTGCAACCATAACATGGCGGGAGAGGTTGTGTTGAAACAAATAGATGTAATGGCAGAGGATAAGCACGGTCGCGCACTAGGGAGATAAGTGGAATGCTCGGCATTACCTGAGTGGTTTTAACCCACTGAAAAAAACCCTAACAGTTCACGACACTCTGCATAAAAACCGAATGGTGATCGGTAGTTACACGCTTCGCTCCCTACTCAAGTAATTTCCAGTTCTGGAAACGATTCCCAAGTTTCCGGTTTCGTCCCGCCCTCCTCGTGCTAGTCCCACCTACAGGGGAAATTTCTCCCTCATCTTGTACGTTATCCTCTTGCTGACTTCAGTCACTCTGCACCGCTCACGAAGAGCACCAGAGCTGCATTCTGACTTTTTCACATTTATAAAAGGCTAACCTCGGCTCAAACTGTTGTGGCTTTGGTCGACGATACTCGGGATACATCATGAGAAACATTTCCGGGAAAGATGTTCCAAAATAGGCGCCATCAATCGATTGATGACGAGCATGCTTCGGATAATAGATGTCACTGCACGATGTACAATACATCTTCACCTGCAAATGTTTTCAACCGTACAAAGCTAAACCAAATCGTAGATTTCTAGCGAACAACTGTTCAACAATATTGGTTACCAGCGGCTCTGCGCGAACGCGATCCTTCTGTAAGCGCGATCCCTCTGACTGCGGCGCGCGTCGCAGCGGGCGCGCGCTTCGCCGCGCGGTATTTCTTTAACAGATTTCTAGACCTCAACCTGATGATCGCCTTTCGTTCTGGTATCTCGCACTATTCTTTCCAGTGTTGGGGAGGTTCATGGAAGGCGCGTTCTATAGAATTTTTGTCTGGATTTCCCACCTCGAAGCAGGCTCCGCCCCCAATCTTTGTGCCCCACAATCCTCACTGGCGACAATCTGCTGACCTTAATCCATGTTTTTTCCCGGTCTTTGGAGCGCTCTGGGACAGTTTTAGAGAATTTTCGTCTGGCTCCGCCTACCTCGGGCTGACCCGCCCACAATGTTTTTGCCCCACAATCCTCACCGGCGACCCTCTGCTCACCTTAATCCATGTTTTTTTTTCCGCGTCTTCGGAGTGCTTTGGAACCGCTTTACAGACTTTTTATCTGGCTACGCCCGCCTTGAGCAGGCCACAATATTTTTGCCCAACATTCGTCACCGGCGACCCTCTGCTGACCTTAGTCCACTTTTTCCGGTCTCTGGAGTGTTCTGGAACCAAACCACACGACTTCCTAACACTCTTGCGAACCCGGTCATGAATTTTGCGAGAGGCACCGCCCACCTTGATCGTGCCCCCTCCCATTTTGATATGTTGCCACAGTTAGTCTGGCGACTCCTTACTAACCTTATTCCCTTTTTCCCCATCTTTAAGCTGCTCCGGAAGCGAATTATGAACATTTTTCTGCGGAACCCCAAACTTTCGGCGAGTGCCCCGCCCACTGTGGGCGGGGCTTCCCATAGGTCAAGTGTGCTTTTTATTTCTTGTCCCATGCCCTACCCATCCCCACCTTGACCCGACCTCTCCAAGTCGTTCTTCAGGTCGAACCGAATTTCCGGACAGACAAACTTACAAACAAACAAACAGACGAAGCGAATTATATATATGGGGTGATGATTGGATGGTGTTGCGTAGGCAATGAACAAACATTAATCGCTTGCTGCATTTCGCATATACGAAATGGCTCAACGTGCTCGTCACACTTCTCAAGGCTGGAAGAGTCGACGCTCTCGAATGTCCTGACCCACTTAAAGTGGCGGTCACGAGCATGAAAATTTTTTCTTTTCGTTCTAGCATAACCAAAAAAGCACGTTCAGAATTCACACAGTTGACAAAAAATCACGTAAGAAGAACTTAAAACACCATACTATACCGTTTATAACTGTAACATAAAATGGTCGCAGCGCCTTGTCACTCCTTGTGGAGCTGTGAAGGTGAGGCAATATATGCGACTACGCCTTGGACTACTTCGGCAAGGACAAACTGGTCGAGAGCAGGGTTTGTCTCCAAATTCACAACCCAACATTAGTGTCAGATTCAAAATCTAGAAGATGCAATGTTGTCATCATCATGCTGTTAGATACTGGATTTGGATATCCAAGAAGAGATCCGTCTTTTGCCTATGTGTGTATAGCCATTCAGTTTCTTTATTTCTAGGACAGTTTACAAACTTCTGACAGCCACACCACTGATGATTTGTCTCCCACTAGACAGACTGCACGCTTGTTTTTACGCCTACAAATTTGAGGCTTCACTGATCTGATTACGCCAGTCGCGCTGGAATCAAAATAAATAAGGTTTTCAAACTCAACCTGTGATCGCTACTATTTAACCAGCAAATGCTATTAGTTGACAAGCAAGTGCGATACATACACAAATTAAAAGCTAATCTAATCTGGTTCAGATTGCCAGGAGAAGTACCTGATTTGGTTATCCCACTTCAGCGTGTCACAACGCTCTGAACAACTACAGTACGGGCGAAAATGTAAAGGAGGGGGAAGGGGGGGCAGTGAATAGCAACAAACTTTTTGGCTAAAATGAATCTTGCTGAATGTCTTTTCTGTTGAGTATAACCAAAAATAAGGGTTAAAATCCAATTAGATCATACCATATCTTTTCCAGGTACATCAACTGTTCCCATAGGAAGTAGTGGATGGTCATAACAAAGAACACGAGGACAAGTACCAAAATCTCCATCTCTCCATTTTTGCAG